CCAAAACTCAATGGCTTTTTATGCACCAATAATGAATTCTCAGAAAGAGAAACTAAACAAACAATCCCATTTAACATTGCAACAACAACAATAAAAAAAAAATCAAAATACTTAGGAATAAACTTAACAAAGGAGGTAAAAGACTTGCACTCAAAAACTACAGGACATTGAAAAAAGAGATAGAGGAAGATATAAACAAGTGAAAAAAATATACTATGTTCATGTGTTGGTAGAATTAACATAATTAAAATGTCCATTCCACTTAAGGCAATCTGCAGATTCAATGCAATACCTATTAAAATACCAGATCTAAAAGAAATGCTCCAAAAATTTATGTAGAACCAAAAAAGACCTTGAATAGCTACAGCAATCTTGAGAAAGAAGAACAAAGTGGGAGGAGTCACAATACCAGATTTCAAGTTATGCTATAAAGCTGCCATAATCAAAACAGCCTGGTACTGGCACAAGAGCAGGCATCTAGACCAATGGAACAGAACAGAGAACCCAGAAATAGACCCAAGCTATTATGCTCAATTAATATTTGACAAAGGAGGCAAGAACATACCTTGAAGTTAAGACAGTCTCTTAAATAAGTGGTGTTTGCAAAATTGGACAGATACATGCAAAAAGAAAAAGAAAGGAACTAGACCATCAACTTACACCAGGAATAAACTCAAAATGGATAAGACACTTAAATGTAAATGGTGAAACCATAAGATTCCTAGAAGAAACCATAGGCTGAAAATCTCAGACATCTCTTGTAGCAATATGTTTACGGATACATCTTCTAGGACAAAGGAAACTACGGAGAAAATAAACAAATGGGCCTACATCAAAAAAAGCTCCTGCACAGCAAAGGAATCCATCAACAAAACGAAACAGGAGCCCACGGTGTGGGAGGACATATTTGGCAATGAAACATCTGATCAAGGGTTAATATACAAATATATAAGGAACTCATACAACTTAACAAAAGGAAGACAAACAATCCAATTTAAAAATGAGCAAAGGACCTAAATACAGTAGACACCTCGCCAAAGAGGACATACAGCTGTCCAAGAGACACATGAAAAAATGCTCAAAGTCACTGATCATCAGAGAGATGCAAATTAAAATGACAATGAGGCATCACCTCACACCTGTCAGAATGGCTACCATCAACAAATCAACAAATGACAGGTGCTGGGGAGGATGTGGCGAGATGGGAACCCTAGTACACTGCTGGTGGGAATGCAGACTGGTGTGATCATTATAAAAAACAGCATGGAGCTTTTAATTTTAAAAAATTAAAATATTTAATTTTAAAAAATTAAATATGGAATTGCCATTTGTCCCAGTGATCCCACTTCTAGGAATGTATCCTAAGAAACCTGAAACATCTACCAGAAAGAATGTATGCACCCCTATGTTCATAACAGCACAATTTATAATAGCTAAGATTTGGAAATAGCCTAAGTGCCCATCAACAGATGAGTAGATTAAAAAACTGTGGTACATTTACACAATGGAAAACTATGCAGCAATAAAAAGAAGAATCTCTTACCCTTTGAGATAGCATGGAGGGACTGGGAGAGTATCATGCTAAGTGAAATAAGTCAGTCAGAGAAAGACAAGTATCACATGAGCTCACTCATATGTGGAATCTAAGTAACAAAATAAACTGATGAACAGAGTGGATCCAGTCATGGAACAGAGTGGGGAATCTCAGAGGGAAGGTGAGGGAGGGTGGGAGGTAATAAACCAAACAGCTTGTATACATATATGCATAACACATGGACACAGACAATAGGGTGGTGAAGGCCTGGGTAGGGGGCGGGGGCAGGCTGGAGAGGATCAATGGGCAAAAAAGGGGGGCATATGTAATACTTTCAACAGTAAAGATTAAAAAAAACAAAACAACAACAACCTCATCGTCACTGATTACCAGAGGGAAATGAGTGTGGGGGAAGGTAGAAGAGAGTAAAGAGGGGATGAATGGTGACGGAAGGAGACTTGACTTGGGGTGGTGAACACACAATGCATTATACAATGATGTATTACAGAACTGTACACCTGAAACCTATATCGTTTTATTAACCAATGTCATCCCAATAAATTCAACTAAAAGGGAAAAAAGAATTCCCAACCTGGAGCAGATAGAGGCAGAGGGAGAGATAAAGCGCTATAAAAAAGGTGTAGAAGTGGAGCAAGGGGGACCAAAGACAGGGAGACAGACAGGGGAAGGTGTGTAGTGACTGCAGATGAGGCAGATGGAAGGGAAGGGGCTGCCAAGATAAGGGCCCAGTACAAACAAACAGACAATTAAAGGCAATAAAATGAGGAGCCAGCAGAAGTGGGGTCAAGACTGTGACTGAAATGGGGCCCAGATTAGGATGAATGCCTAGTCACCTCCACATCCATCACAATGCCTAGGGACAGCTAGAGCAGAGACTGGAAACAGTCCTCCATGAATTTGACCCCTTGCTAGGAAGCAATATGGGAACTTCCATGTGCATATTCACATGCGCATCCCTGGTGATCCCTGTCCTCAGAAACCTACAGGCCAAGAAATGAGGTAGAGAATGCTATACCCTAGGAAAAGTACAAATGCTATACTGCAGTTCTGATGCAGAGACTACTATCTGAGATCTTGACAAATGGATAAAATTTGGGCATTTGAGAGATAAAGTGAAGATCTTAACCTTTTTCACCATCTCTCTCCAGTCATGGTTAAACATGCAAGGACTGCCTAACAGCCTGCTGAACAGAAAGGAAGTCCTGGAGACAGAGGCAACCCCACAGATGCCTGCAGAGTGGATGGTCCCCTAAGACAGTTCTGGTCTCTCTGCCCCAGATTATACCATAACAACCACAGTTCCTCTCACACTACCAAGGCTCCATGCCACCCCTCATACGCCCACCCACATGTGACTAAAGAAAATTGGCCTCAGGATATGCAATATATAAGCAAGACACTGTGCAAGTGGCCAGTTCTAATTTCTACGTGACATCACACTATTGGTGATGCTAAGTCTACACAAGTGTGCCATGTGCTACCAAGCCAACATCACAAGATCCCAATTCATGTAAAACACATTCCCAATCTCATTTCTTTGCTATTTACTCCCATGAAACATGACTTATTTTTTAACTGATATATAAACACATTTTTTTAAAAATATATTCATATCCTGTTACCCAATCATCAATTAACCAACATTGAATTTCTGGATTTATTTCTTCTCAAGAAACCTCTTCTCTCTTTATTGTTGTTGCTGTTGTTAAATGTATTTTTACTGATTTCAGAGTGGAAGGGAGAAAGAGATAGAAGCATCAATGATGAGAGAGAATAATTGATCGGCTGCCTCCTGCATACCTCCTACTGAGAATGGAGCCTGCAACCCAGGCACATGCCCTGACCGGGAATCAAACAGATACCTCCTGGTTCATAGGTTGATGCTCAACCACTTAGCCACACCGGCCAGGCCTCTGCTTTCATTTTTCAATTATCTTGTCTCTGCTCTAACTAAAGTTCCTGGCCTGGACTCAGAGCCGGCCAACTTGACACAGACCTGAGTGTGGCCAACACTCCCAGAAAGAAGTCTGTGAGAGGTCTGTGGCCCCCGCCCCTATGTCAGAAGAGGGTTCCCCCACCAGCACTCAGACCTCTCTCCGGGGAGACCTGGGTGCAGTCCACACTCCTCCCACATGGCTATATTGGGAGGCCCCCCGTTTCCTGGGGCAGGGGCCTCCCAGCGCAGCACAGGAGAGAGGAGTCCGGAGCATGTGCCCAAAGGTGGGGTGTTTATGAACAAGGTACAGGCAGAGCAGGCATGCACTTCCAGAACACCATAAAGGCAATCTAATGCTGTTGCCCAGTTAGCCTCTGCACATACAATAAAGCAAGCTCACCTCTAAGCCTCCAGTTTAGTTTCTACTGAAACTGAGGCTCAGGGAACGTCATATCTTACAAGTGATTGGTGAGACTATCTGCTTACGCCTTCAAAGAATGCTTGTCCTAGCCAAAACCGGTTTGGCTCAGTGGTAGAGCATCGGTCTGCGGACTGAAAGGTCCCGGGTTCGATTCCGGTCAAGGGTTGCAGGCACATCCCCGGTAGGGGGTGTGCAAGAGGCAACTGGTCGATGTTTCTCTCTCGTCGACGTTTCTGGCTCTCTATCTCTCTCCCTTCCTCTCTAAAAAAATCAATAAAATATATATTTTTTTAAAAAGAATGCTTGTCCTTCACACTTCTGCTTACATGTAAAACCCTCACCACAAAAGTGTTAGCCATTAGACCTAAGTGAGCTTTTGGAATGGGTTTCTGGATTGTATGATGGCAGCTCTTAAGTCAGCTCTCTTTTACCTAACTCTTTAAGAAATCATAAACCCTAACCCTGGCCCTGGCTAGTGTGACTCAGTTGGTTCAAGTGTGGTCATGTGCACCAAAGGGTGGTGAGTTCAATTCCTGGTTGGAGCACATACCCAGCCCAGCTTTCAGGCTCAATCCCCTATTGGGACGTGTGAAGGGAAGCAGCTGATCAACATTTCTCTCTCACATTTCTCTCTTGCTCTTTCTCTCTCTCTCCTTCCCTTTCTCTCTCAAAAAGAAAAAAATCAACAAAATTAAAAAATCATAAACCCTAGACTAAATCTAACAGCCTAAACTTCCATTCGTCCTACCTGATCAAATTACAAGAGGGCCAGTCAAGACAAGAACTCCATTCCTTATGCCTGAAATTCTGATCATAAGATTGCAACTAAGCCCTATAGGGACAGATGTACTGTGGAGAAATAAGTAAGGTTAAAAGAATGGAAGTGCATGTGCCCGTTGGGCAATGGAGCCTTTTGAAAGGGATTAGTTGAATAATGTGGGCATCTAGGTTGGCAGTGGTACTATCTCCATAAGCAGGCCAACCCCTTCTCCCATGGCCAGGCCACCTCTCAGCGCTCAGCCCAGGGACAGCCCCGTGGGTCTGCGGTGTGGGGGGGGGGGGGAGAGGGGGGACGAGGTCCGGCTCACCCTTCGACCCGCCTCGTTGTTCTGCAGGTTCATAAGCACCCGGCCCTGCTCCTCCGATCCCTTGGCAAAGTTCTTCTCCCGCTCCCGGGCATCCACAAACTCCTTAGCAAACCGGTAGCCGTACTCCACGTTGTCCCCACAGCCGCCCCACAGCCAGTCCCGGGGAAGGTCCTTGGGCCTCGCTGTCCTGCTGCAGCCGCATGTGGACAGCTCGCCCTCTCGGCAGGCCCTGCTGATGGCGTTCACCACCCCCGCGGCGCTCACGGCATAGGTGAAGGCCGTCTCCCGGCTCCCTGCAAGACAAGGCAAGACGGGGCGAAGGAGGTCAACTCTAGCGGAGGCTTCCTGCCCTCTGCCTCCTCCACACCCACGCCGCCACAGCCTCACCGCAACACTCCCAGGAGTGGCCTTCACTTCGCGTGACTCTAATGGTTTGAAACTTCTCTTGATAATGAGCAGAACTTTACCTACTCTGCCCTACCGTATCCCAAACAGAGCAACTCCCCCGCAGCCCTGGGCTTACACTCACATCCGTTTCAGTTTATAAGACCAGTGGATTCCTAGGAGGCAGACCTCAACACAGCAGAGAGTGGTCATTGAGGAATTTAGAAAACCCTTGAGACCAAGAGAATGAGACTAAACAGAAATCATGGGACTAAGAACAGGACTCTATTCTCACAAATATCTCTCCCTTACAGATGGCAATTTTTCACGCTATGAGCCACACATATGTCCTTTTATTGCTACCATTATCTAGCTAGGCAGAGGCAGAGAACAGGAGTAGAAAGTGAACTGGAATTACAGCATCTGTCTGCAGGTCTTCTGCAGGGTCTACACTGCCTCCCAAGCCCCCAGCACCCAGAACCACATCTACGGGACCTCGGCAGGTCTCTCCAAATACCTGCATCATTTCTAGTAGAAAAGCCGAAGTGTGTCCCTCTTTGCTGTAGTGAACCACTTGAAAATTCAGATGATATATGCTCTAATTCAATAAAAATGTTTACAAAAAATTATACTCAGCCACCAGGGAAATGCAAATCAAAATCACAATGAGACACCACTTCGCACGCATGAGTATGGCTATCATCAAAATGTCAGCTAAAAAGTTGGGGGGAATATAGAAAAAACGGGAACCCTCATGTACTGCTGGTGGGAATGTTCAATGGTACAGCTGCTTTGGAAACGGTCTGGCAGCTCCTCAAACACAGAATTACCACATGACCCCGCAATTCCATTCCTAAAATATATCCAAGATAAAGGAAAACATCTGTCCACATAGAAACTTGTACATGAATGTTCACTATAGCATTATTCATTAAAAACAACTCACATTGTCCATTAGCAGGTATACGGGTAAACAAAAGGTGGTCTTATCCATACAGCAGGATACTACTTAGCCATAAAAAGTAATAAAGTACAGTCCTGGTTGGTATGCCTCAGTTGGTTGAGTGTCATCCCATGCACCAGAGGGTTCCAGCTCAATTCCTGGTCAGGCTACATGACCCGGGGATGGGTTCAATCCCCGGTTGGGGTGCATACGGAAGGCAACCCATTGAAGTTTCTCTCTCACATCGATGTTTCTCTCTCTCTTTCTCCCTTTCTCTTTCTCTAAAAATCAACAAAAACATATTTTAAAAACATACTGTATTAAAAAATTAATTAAGTACAAGTAGAACATGGATGAGCCTTGAAATGATTATGCTAAGTGATTACTTAACATTTTGTGTCTATATTGCACCTTATATAAAAGGCTACATACGATCCCATTTATATGAAATGTTCATAAGATGAAAATTCATAAAGACAGAAAGATTAATGGTTACCTAGGGTTTGGGGAGAAGGGGAGAGAAATAAAGAGTAATCTCTAATGGGTATGCGATTTGTTTACAGGGTTATGGAATTAGATAGTAGTGCTTTCTAATTGCACAATCTTGTGAATATACACTGAACTGTATATTATTAATTTATTTTTCAATAAAGAAATAAATAACATTCATATGAACTCAGGATGTAAGGAAGAGAGTGGCTTTTAGTGGGAAACTGAGATTCAATCCTGATCTCAGCTGTTAAACCAGACAGAATTTCTGCTCTCCATGGTCAGAAGTAGACAGACCACAATTCCGTCTTGGCAGGTGGAGAGGGAAGCAGTCTGTAATTAGTAGGTCTACAGTGATCTCCACCTTACCCTACGTTTGGATTATCTAGGCATAACATAGGGAAGTTAGCAACCAGACCACACGGGAAAATTAGTTTTTCTCAATTAACCCGGGGCCAGCTCTGTCAGACTAGGAGTAGCCCAAGAAAACCCAGGGTTGGAGGAAGTCACACCCATGACTCAGCCATCAGGCTTAGCATGTGAATCAGCACTGGACCACTGCCGGAGACCGGGGCCGATCCGGTCTGGGGGAGTCAGTCTGTGAGCGTGAGCTCCCAGGATGTAAGAGGCTCCTGGGCAGGAGGGAGTCAGGCCTGAGAACTCTTCCCAGAAGACTGACCTGGCTCCCGGGGCAGGAAGGAGCCTGGGAAGCTGCGGCCCAGAGCCACATTCCACCCCGTGTGAGCACTCCTTTTATAGCATTCCTCAGAGAAGGGGCTGGGTTCTCGAGGCAGCCCATTCCCCCTCCTGTGGTGACTCTGGTCACCAGAGCATCCTTATGTGAAGCTGAAATAGGCTTCCCTATAACGTCTGCCTGCTGGAGAGGCACATCTAATCCCTTTTCCATATGACAGCCCTTGAGCGTTTGAGAACAACGAAGATGCCTCTTATTCATTCTCTTTTCTGAGCTACATATGTCTGATTTCTTCTTCCATTCTTTAGCAAACGTGTTTTTCAGAGCTGAGTCACCCCTCTCAGAACTGCCTTTTACAACAGGGGGCCTGCAGCTGGGCGTGGTATCGCAGGCAGTACGCGCTCTGAGGGTCCTCGCCTGGCAGCATGGCTGGAACCTAACCTGTCCTCATGAGCTGTCTCCTGCAGTCATCCTGCCTCTTTCGGCGGGGCCTCCTCAGGGCCTGAGTGCAGGTGGCTCTGCCTCCGTGGGCAGCACGTGGCTCTCAGGTAAGCTTGGTAAGTGAGCCTAGTGCTCTTCTCAGAAAGCAAGAATGGATAAGTGTGGGCGAAGGGTGTCTATATATGAAACAATTCAGAGTGGAAACTCAAATCATATCAAGGAAAAAGGCTGTTAAACCAGCAGCTACAAAAAAGACCTTCCTCTGGTAGGACGACAGGGGCCAGCAGGATGGTACTACGCCCGCTGTTCCAACCGTCAGGAGGTTCCTCCATGCTCCTCTCGGCGCCCCCTGAGCTGCTCTGCAGCCGCTTCAAAGAAGGAAGGGATCTTGGGAGATCACACACAAGCCTGCAGTGAGAGGACCCACCGGGGGGGATGGAGGACAGCTTCCCGGGGAAGATACAGGGAAGCCTCAAAAAGGAACGGTGGAAATAAAGCAGCAGATAGGGCCTGCTCTCACAAGCCATCCCACCACGCAAACCTGTCCCCAGCAGCGCTTCCACTCCTGCCAACTCTTCTTTCTAGAGTAAAAGAGTAAAGCCTCACTTTTTGGCATTCACTCAAACAAAACAACACATGGAAGGGATCTGGCCAGCATCAGGCATACATTAGGCTATTCGCTTAGTGATCAGGGGTGCCTCTCTCTGTTTCTGAGCCATCCTTGTGCCCTCAGCGGAAACCCAGGACAGAGGGTGCTGCTGACCGAGATCTTTACCGGGAAGAAGGGACAGATACTCAGTATATTTGAGAAGAACTGATAAAGGATCACCAAATCTCACTTAACCCTTAAGTCCATTCTTTTGGGAAAGCTGCCCAGGAAGACTGTCATGAGAACACGAACATCCCTTTGTGAATCTCGAGTTGACACTGAAGGGAGGTTCACCGTGTCCTTTCCCCTCGTCCTTACTTCTCAATGTGGCAGGGGAGGGAGAGGAAAGAGGTAAGGCAAAGGGAGGGGAGCTGCCAAGAATAGAGGGGAACTGACTCCCTAACTGCCTGCTGCTAAAATAATTCTTTGGGAAAACTGCAGCCGTGGGTAACTCCAGAAAGTCTTTTGAGGAGAAGCTGTTCTGAGAGAATGTGAGATAGAGACTTCAGTGCTCTCACACCTTCCTTTTATGGCCCTGGGATAAGACCCGGCAGAAGAAGGCCGGATTTCTCAATTTCTTGCCAGGGAGAGGAGAATTACATTTCAAAAGGACCTAAAACAATTAGACCCCAGATCACACCTCCATCTAAGCAATAGGGCAGCGAAAGAATCCTAGTCCAGGAGCGGGAGAGGGGAGAGAGCTGGAATCTGGGGAGAGTGGCCCTCTCGTCTTTCTTCTTCAGTCTGTCCCCCACCCCCACTTTCACACACAGCCTTTCAATGAAAAAGCCAGGACTGGATCTGGGTTGGATTAATGACAGCTATCACCAATTTGGCCCAAAGTTTCTATCTCTCTCGGGGTCCAAGTGAAAGAGGCAAAAAGCTTACAGACATTCAGGGCAAGGCTCTCAAAGGAGGCCCTTGTGCTGCGTGAGACAAAGGGCACTGGCGGTGGGCGGCTTCCCAATGCTCTCTAACTCAACTCAGATGCTCTGAGCCCTTCCCAGAGTGAGTCACGCCAGCTGCCCAGACAGGGCGAAGCTGGAAGAGAGGGCTAGCGGAGCACGGAGCTGTGCGGCTAACGCATCCTCTGAGACGCCGCTGTCTGTGTGCCTCTCTCTGCCCCCTCACAGGCCAATGCCAAGCCACGGGAAAACCCAGTCAGACACTCCAGCGGCTCCCTCTGCCCGTCCCGGGAGAGCACGTGCGCATCCGGCCAGGTGAGCGCAGCTCCTTCAGCTGAGCCATGTCCGCGGCCGCTTACCGATCTGCATGACCCTCCCGAAGACGGAGGTGTCGTCCACGGTGCTGCAGTTCCACCGCCTCTGCCGGAACTGGTGCTGGCACTCCTTGATGCCCATCTTGGCTCCCTCCCCTATGTAGGCCATGTGCTCCTGGTACAACTGGCACAGCTTCCTCTGGCCCGGGGAGAGCCCCGGGAGCTGGCTGCACACAGGCTGGGCACCGATGATGAACATCTCAGGTCTCTGCACCGGGTTCATAGCTAACGACCTGCAGCAGCAATTCAGAAAGGGGACAGGAGTGAGCACGTGCCTGCGTGCAGCAGTAAGTCATTCATCCAGCACGTTTATCGAGTGCTTTCTGTGAATAAGGCCAGGCAATGAGGGCTGGGAAAAGGAAATCGGGGAGCCCTGGACAGCGTGGCTCGATGGTTGGACTGTCATCCAGTACACTGTAAGGTCATGGGTTCAATTCCCGTCAGGACACATACCTACGTTGTGGGTTCGATCCCTGGTCAGGGTGCCTACAGGAGGCAATCGATTGATGTGTCTCTCTCACATCAGTGTCTCTCTTTCTCGCTTCTCTTTCTCCCTCACTAAAATCAATAAAGGAAATTGGGGAAACTGAGGCATGAACACAGGTGACATGTGAGATATCAGATGCCTAAGACAGACCTGAGCTTCTGGATCCAGAGTGATCTGATAGAGGAAGAGTTCTTACAGCTGGGAGAGGAGCTTTTTAAAAAATATATTTATTTTTAAATTTCTACTTTTTTAATCCTCACCTAAGGACATTTTCATTGATTTTTAGAGAGAGGGGAACGAAGGGAGAGAGAGAAACATCAATCAGATGACTCCTGCACGTGCCCTGATTGAAGCCAGGGGTGAGCCTGACAAGAAAAGGAATCCGAGACCTTCCAATGTTGGGACAATGCTCTCACCAACTGAGCCAGCAGCCTGGGCGGGAGGAGTGTGTAAGGAGAGGGCCGGTGTGAGCTGGCTCCTACAGAGGGTGGGCGGGAGGAGGAGGAGGCAGACAGGGCAGGCTGTATTCCTGTGAGGCAGAGGGCAGAGAGCCAACAGGAGAGCACAGGCCTTACTCCGGGAGAAGTGATCCGTTCACGGGGCCTACATGCAGGATGTGCGATGGAAAGCAACACATCCCTTAACGAGGACTTCCCCTTGCACCTTTAAATCTAACCCAATTTACATGCATTGCAATATTTCCTAAATGCTTTCACTTCCGTATCTGACCCACACATCCCCTAATCCACTCTTTATCTGCTCAAGGGCTCTCCCTTTGGCTCATCACCCACCAGACACAATGAAGGGTTAAGTTAGATGAAAAGGCTGTACAATTGTCATCTGAGTAAAACTCTGAGCAGGGCACAGTCTGTGCAAAGCAGGTGGTGAGTGCCTGCCATTTCCATGTTGACTTGGCAATGACAATAGTCTTTAAAACACAAGAAGAAAGACACATGATCCTACAAATCCCTCATCCTGTCATCAGACTTTATAAAATAGAAATTCTACTCTCCTTGCCTCTACCAGCAAAAAAAATAAATAAAATAAAAATCATCCGCCGAAATCGGTTTGGCTTAGTGGATAGAGCGTCAGCCTGCAAACTAAAAGGTCCCAGGTTCGATTCCAGTCAAGGGCATGTACATTGGTTGCGGGCACATCCCCAGTAGGGGGCGTGCAAGAGGCAGCTGATCGATGACTCATTGATGTTTCTAACTCTTTTTCCCTCTCTCTTCCTCTCTGTAAAAAAATAAATAAAATATATATATTTTTAAAAATCATCCAATAGCAACAAAAGAGGTATTTTTAACCACCCATAGAAATGGCAGTAGAGCCAGGAAAAGGGGAATGCAGACTGGATCAAAAAAAAAGCCAAATGAACTAACCCTTTATCCCACATGTGTCAAACACAAGGCCCACGGGCCAAATCCATCCCGCCAGGCCTTGCAATGTGGCCCGCACCGCGCTGTCATCACTGCACTCCGCTGCGTTTCCATCACAATGACAGTTTATGACTGTTCAGTAAACCATTCGGCCCGCGATTTAGGCTGGATTTTAGATTTTGGCCTCTTCTCTGATTGAGTTCGACACCCCTACTTATCCTGTGGAACCTTTACTTCTGGGGGCCTGAGAGAGAAAAGGGCTGGGCTAGATTTCCTGGGATAAAAGAGGGCCTCGGGACTCCTATGACCAAAGGAACGATCACGACCCACCGTGACCTTCTCCACATTTAATTACCAAAGGAGGCGTGGGTTATGAAGTAGGACCTCAGCCCCTCACTCACCACCAGGAGCTGGCTTCGGCCGGGAGCTGCGCCCAGCTGGAGAGCAGCGCAGCGGCGAGCAGCAGCAGGCCGGGCATGGTCGGCCTCAGCCCTCCCCAGTGTCTCGGGAGGACCCCGGGGACTGCCAGCTTCCAAAACGGAGCTCCCTGAGGAAACAGAAATGGGGGGAGAGTCAATGTGGAAATGCAACAAAGAAGGGAGGCCCAGGAGACGGGCGTGAGCTCTGGGCTGGCCCCAACCTCACTTTCTGCTCTCCCAGAGAGGCAGCCTCTTTCCAACCTCCACTTCTTACTGTTCATCTCCCGGTAGGAGTGCCTTGATGACTCTTACCCCAAACTGTGAAGACTCCACTCGAGGCCTAATTCCAAAGGAAATACAAGCTGAGAGACCAGAAGAGAGAAATGAAAACACACTCCTTCGAGAGCAGAGCATGTGCCGTGCAGCATGTATGCAATGCACACCTGCCCTTCCAGAGCGAGCGCCACCCCCAGCCCTCCTCACCGCTCAGGCTGCCAGAGGTGGAGTCTCTGGCCACCAGGCTCCTTGGTGGGGCTAAAAGACAATTGGTGGGTCGGCTTGACAGCCAAACAGGAGTTTCCCTCTCAATCTGAAACCTTCTCACTCTAAAATTTTCCAAATCCCAAAAGTGGTTTGCCAGGAATAACAGTAGGGAGAAGGCAAGGGCTTTTCACTTTCTCAGGGCGACTTCCCTGAGAAATGTAAAAGCCCACAGCCGCCGGGGCCCTGAAGCTCTGGAGGCTGGGGCGTGCCTCCCTGGGTGGCCCTCATCCCTCCCCGGTGCTCAGGGCCCGAGTCCCACAGCACCTCCTGCTTCTCATCTGCAACCCTAGCCTCTCACATCTGTGCTGAGCAACAAGCCCTTCCCTCGTGGCACGGGGGCCTCCCACGGCTTTTTGTGACAACCGGCATTCCCCGCAAACACTGCTCCTGAGTCCTTGAAAACCTCCAGAAGATCCAGCTTCTGGATCCTGGAGAGAGTCTGTAAAAACACGCCCCTCCGACTCACCGCACCTCGCTTCCCCGTAGCTTTCATCCAGGGCGTGACCCTCAGTCCCAGTGAGTCTTCTTCCCACCACCCCTTAGCACCTCCGACCTCACATACACAGTCACACACAGACACACACACACACACACACACACACACACACACACCCACACCCACGCCCCGCCCGCCTCACCGCGCTGCTCGGGGTCGCCAGGCTCGCCGGGAGGGGGCGGCAGGTGCTTTGGGTCCTCGGCCCGGCAGATACTGTTTGTCCCGGGGCCACCAAGAGAGGAAGGTGGCCTGAGCTACATCCAGGGAAGCTGGGCCACAGCCTATCCCCACCCCCTTTCGGCTTTGCTCCGTGGGGTCTTAGCCGGGGCCCGGGCATCAGCAGGCAGGTGTGTGAGGTCAGCAGGGGGCAGATCAAAGAGAAAACTTGCTCCTTCCCCTTTGTCATGCAGAGCGAGCTCGGAAATGATCCCATCTCCAGCGGACTAACAGCTCCCCACACCCCACTTCCCAAACAGACCTCCCCTCCCCCTCCAACCCCCACCCCCCATAAATCCTCCCCGCCCCTGAGGGCAGAAGGTCTGTGAATGCACTGACTGGAACCGAGAGAGATGGAGCAGAGATAGGGCTGGCACCAGAAGCTAATGGCTTTATGGAGGGGAGGGACCAGGTCCAGAGTAGGGAGGACAAGAGAAAAAGCTTCAAAGAATCTCCTTGTCCAAACATCCTCAGCTCCACCTACCAGTCCTTCTCGGGGACTCAAGAGTCAGAGCTGCCCCTACTGCCTGTGGCCTCCGCCCTCCCCCACGTCCCTCCCGCCCACAGGGCCAGCCCACCACCAAGCCTCCTGCAAAACCCTTACTCCACCGACACACACCCTCACACATCTCCATCCACATAGCTGAGCTTTCTCCAGCGGTGACACTTCTCACCCCGATGGGTCCCCCTCACGCCCGTGTCTTTCCATCCCGCCCTTTCACCAGCCCCTGTGAAATCCCTCTGGCTCTGCGAGTCCTACGTGCAGCTGAGGCCACACTGCAGCCACTGTTCCCGAGCCAAGGCCAGAGTCAGTGCCAGCGAACAGGCACTGTGGCTCTGACACCCCAGCGCCAGGCTGACAGGTGAGCTAAGGCCGAACTCCCTAGAGCTGCTAAGCCCGCCCCTCCGTGCTTCATGAACATGAACAAATATACACATAAGCCAGGCTCACTCCAGCAGCTGTCTACCAACTTGTGCTTTCCATCAAACTCATTCAAAAAAGATTTTTAGCCAAAGCCGGTTTGGCTCAGTGGTAGAGCGTCGGTCTGCGGACTGAAAGATCCCGGGTTTGATTTCGGTCAAGGGCATGTACATTGGTTGCGGGCACATCCCCGTTGGGGGGTGTGCAGGAGGCAGCTGGTCGATGTTTCTCTCTCATCGATGTTTCTAGCTCTCTGTCTCTCTCCCTTCCTCTCTGTAAAAAATCAATAAAATATACTTAAAAAAAAAAAGATTTTTAAAAACTTAAGAAAGAAAAGGACTCTAGCATGTATGGTGGCCTCTTTCTCTGCCTTCCAGATGCAGCCACCCCTCTGAGTGGTCACCGGCCACCGCCCTCGCCCGCCCTCATTCACATTCTTTGGTTTCCTCGGGCAGGGCTAGGAGGAGGAAAGTGGATGCTGGTGACTGGTGTCACGAGTGTGGGCAGAATGGAAACCTGCCTCAGTGGGACTGGGGAGGAAGGAAAATGTGTGGGGACGGATGGTTTGGTCTTAATGAGGAGGACACATCAGAAGCCCTGTCTGTGGGCCACTGCTGAGTCTCACAGCAGGTCTCAACCAGGGAAGACTGTTCCTGGTGTGGGGAAATAGGTCTAGTAATGATCCCAAAGGCAGGGCGAATTCTTTTTGCCGCCTTTGTAATAACCAGAGTTTCCCCCCCACAACTAACTAGTTGCTCTTTCCTAGGAGAGGTGTCATTTCAGAGCCACCAAGCAGTTACGTGGGAGAGAGTCCAGGGCCTCTTCGGCGGTGACCGGGAGGCTGCAGGGCTGGGGAGATGCAACATTCTCCATCGTGACTCTCCACAGGGCCCGCGTGGGCTGATCAGACGCATCTGCTCTGCTTCTTCATGCAGCCATTCTTTTGTTCAGTAAATTCATTAATCCAATATGCACTAGGGGCCTCATGTGTCCCAGTTACTGCTCTAAGTGCCAGCGATAGGCAATAAGCAAATAAATTCAGGCAGGGTATAGGGGTACTGACCCCTCCTTCCCCACCCAGACCAAAATCTGCGATAACTTTTGACTCCCCCAAAAGTTAACTGTAGTAATAGCCTACTATTAACTGGAAATCCTATCAAGAGCATAAAGAGTCAATTAACACATATTTTGTATGTTATATGTATTGTATACTATATTCTGATAATAAAATAAGCTAGAGAAAAGATATTATTAAAATTACAAGGAAGAGAAAATACATTTACAGTATTTATTGAAAAAAAAATCTGTGTATAAGTGAACCTGCGTAGTTCACACCCATATTTTTCAGGGATCAACTGTACGTAATATGCTAGGTCCTGTGAATATTATAAGAAAAAAATCAAGCAGGGACTAGAATCAAGAATAAGGGGTGATAAGCCAGTCAGAGAAAGAAAAATACCATGTGATTTGATTTACGTGTGGAATCTAATGAGTAAAATAAACAAACAAAATAGATACAGAAAACAGGCTAGCAACTGTTAGAGGGGAGTGGGGAGTGGGTCTGGATGGAAAAGGCGATTAAAACACACATACACACAGACAAACTCATAGACACGGACAATGTGGGGATTACCAGAAGTGTCAAGGTAAAGGAGGGATAAATGGGATGGTGAACACACAAACAGATTACATATTATAGGATTGTACACCTGAAACCTGTGTAATTTTATTAACCAATATCACCCCAATAAAGTCAATACAAAACTTTAAAAGAATAAGGGGTAAAACCTTACATTACTTGGGGAAAGCTGCAGTGGGAAGCATCTGCCCAAACCACCGTGCAGCTGGAAGGAGCAGGGGACCGCCCTGCTTGCTCACTCCAACCCTGTGGTCCGTCCTGGGTCCTGACGGAGGCACCGCCTGCTCCACCAGCACAGCCAAAGGGCTGCCTGTCTGAAAATAGGAACCCGAGGGCCAGGTTTGATTCCCAGTCAGGGCTTATAATCAGGATGTGGGTTCGATCCCCGATCAGGTGCCTGCAGGAGGCAACTGATTGATATTTTGCTCACTCTCCCTTCTCTCTCTAAATAAATTAAAAAAAAAAAAAATTTTTTTTTTAAACATGCAATACCTATTTAGTCAGGGGCACTGAAAAAAAAAAAAGTAAATCAGATAGCAACATCCTAATTCATAGGAAGTAGCACAAAAAGCAATGTTAATTAAAAAAAAAACAACACCAGCAACCACCACCAGGCTGATTGTAAAGTCATTGGTATAAACACACACACACACACACACAGCCTTGTCAGTGGGGGAAAAAAGCCAGACTTCTCCCAACCGAAATGGTGACAGGCTGCTGAAGGCTGGAGGAATTAAGAGAGAATAGCCGTTTTAGAGAGCTGGTGTTTATGTGTACCAAAGGTTCCCCATCTCCTAAGGATGAAACCAAACACCATCACATTACACAAGACCTTTCAAAACGTGACCTTGCCAACCTTTCCATCTTGTTTTGGTTTTCACTTTGTGCTCCAGAAACCCAAACTGCCTGCCTCTCCATGCCTCCTTACCACCCACACCTCTCCCTAGTTTCTTGCATGTCTTGCCACATTTAATATGTGGCATACTTTGGCATGTTTATCTGTATTTTTATTTCTTTCCTCATAAGCTCCGCAGATGGTCGTTCACTATTTTCTCCCAGTGGTTAGGATAGTGTCCAAGGGTACCTAGTATGTGCTCAATAAGTACTTGTTGATTGAAAAAAAGAGGTTAGACCTCTCCAGTCTCCAAGACACAGGCCACCGAGGTCAGCCTCTCCTGGAGACAAAGGAGTCCTCTGGTTTCCCTATGGCCCAGCCCACTGACCAGCAAGAAAACCTGCTTCTACTGATGCATTTATTCCTTGATTTGGGAATCTACTATCAGATGTTAGTTGAGATTTTGGAGATTCCAAG